CTGTAGATCAAATACATGACTACAAATGTAATGTGATTCTAAATTCTTGTCGGGGAGGGGGGGTTACGACAATAATTTAGAATCACCCTATATAGCAAGAACCACGAAACATAAGAAGAATATCTGAAAAGTTGCGTTGTCAGAATTCAAGCTGCCCCAACATGGGGAGTTCAGGACAGGTGGAAAGTGTATCTTCCCCGTCCTTACAGCCAAGTCTTTCTTATACAATATTGAGATCCATTAGGGAGAAAGATTAATATAATAGCCTTTTCACATTGACGTACAATTGACTACAATAATTTTCATATATAACAACTGTCTTTTCGATGAAGAATCGCTTCGTCAGTGTCCGGTCGCATCTAATTCACTGCGGTCTAATTCTTATATGAAAACCTCCCTTTAGTTCATTCGTTCTGCACGCTTCCGGAAATGAGACATTGAGTGCACTCTCCCTAAACAAACAAGAGGACTACAGATGCTTTTAAAGTAACGCATGACAACGCGAGACGCAATGAAAATGATTACGAGATACCGCACAGTAAACCCTGTCTAATAGGAACCTGCAGGTCCATCTGAACCTGAAGATTTACAAATCCACTTCTCCCCTCAGCCTCATATTTACCCTGAAGATGACAATTGTAATGTGTACTAAAACTCTGGAAGAGCTTAAACACATGATGGAGCTAAAACACAACGAACAACAGTTATAGATAGCAGATTAGAATAGTCGGTATAGCGACTAGCTGCGGGCTGGACGGCCGAGGGGTCCGAGTTCGAGTCCCGGTGGATCCAAGAATTTTGTCTTCTCCAAATCTTCCAGACCAGCTTCCAATATAATGGGTACTGGGAGCTATTTACCCGGTGGTAACGCGGCAGAGGCGTGACCTTGACCACTCACCTACAGCTAGTGACGACGTCAAGAAAATGTGGATCTATGCATCTACTCCCCCATACGCCTTCATGGCGTGTTTTAATTAGTTAAGCACAGGCACAACTTTACCTTTTACTTTAACACTCGCTTTAAGGTACTGTGACATATGGGCCGTTTCTAGGAAACGAATATGCAAACACGTTGCCACGTAGAGACTGATTCCTGGAAACCAAGTGAGTTCGAAACACGATTTCCATGGATACAGAACATGGTTTCCGAGACAACGCATTCAAGGAGAACAGTAATGAAACCCTTGGAGGCGGAGATTTTATATCAGGTTTGCAGGCAGTTATAAAAGGCAGTGCATTCGTGAATTCGAGAAGTTAAGAGTTTCAGATAGAAGTCTCAAATTCTTTCCTAAGAGAATTCCGAATGCAGTTCATATTTAAGTATTCATCTGCGAAATATTAACAACATAAGATTCGTTACCAAGCAATGACTAGTAGATAGAAATTGTAAGACTTTATTTTGTGTTATAGCTATAGCAATATTTAGAGTGTAATAATCATTTGTAGTTACGAAATGTGAGTGTCCAAAAATTCTATTAATCTAATCCAGAACTCATTATTATTAGTCGCGCTAACCCGAAACACGTGACGACACTAATTCTGTACATTAGGCCCACACATTGGATTTGTGTGTTTCGTATGATACAGCAAACTACGATTGTTTCCATAAACGGCATTAACCAGCTGATCTTTGTAACGGAGAAGCAATGTTTCCTGTGAGGTAGGAACTGGGTTTCTATATAGTACGTAGAAGAAAATCCGTTTCTAACCCCATCGTCTATTCAGAGGGGTTCTTACACAGGGAGTATAACCGTACGTGTTCAGTTGTCAAAATGAAAACCGTTCTGGTCGTGAGTCTCAAAGGGCTTGGCGCCAAGACGAATTGATTGGCGGTACACCACCAGTCGTGAAGTAACTCCGACTGTGACTCGGTAACGTTGGATGTTTTCGCTCAAGAACGCTGTCAGGAAGTGACAAATTCGTTAGTCGCATGGTCGAAATAAACCCAGTACCCTGTACGTTACCACATGTTCTTCAATGTTAGGACACAAGACTAAAACCTGAATATGACGGAATTCCATGATATGACGTTTTTCGTTTCAGGTAAGTTTCGCTTGTAACAAAGGTATTCGTTTAAACAACTGCTGCATATTACAGTACATACTCAACGCTCCGTAATCCATGTCACACGTCACGGCACAGTACCTAATTGCTGGGCAATAAGCGTTCAGAATTTCTGTTTACTTCTTTCCATTCTCTTTTTATTCCTTCCAAAAGGCCTACGCTAACCCTTTAAAGCATGGCCGCGCCATAGCTCAACCGGTTACCCGCTGGCTTCCCACCGCGGCGGCCCGGGTTCGATCCCGGGTCTGGTCAAGTGGGATTTGTGGTGGACAAAGTGGCGCTGGGGCAGGTTTTCTCCGAGTACTTCGGTTTCCCCTGCCATTCTTCATTCCACCAATTGCTCCACCCTCACCCTCACATATCATCTTGGGCTGGTACAATAGGCCAGAAGTGGCCGCAGTACAAGGGACTTAGTCCCATCCCACTAGCATTAAAAAAAACTTTAAAGCACAGTGGTTACTGCATGTACCACGTCATACCTCATTCATGGAGGTGAGTGCTTTTTGAGAAGTTGCCAATTGTGCAGCTACTCAAGAACTCCCCAGCATTTTATGGAACCCGAAGGTTCATTACCGTGCTTACAAGAGCCATCCACTGTTCCCTATCCTAAGCTAGGTCAATCCAATCCATACCATCCAATCATAGTTAGTTATTTAGAGAGGGTGGGTTTCCCCATGCACCGCGACCAGTTAGATCTATTGTCCTTCCCTCTATGATATTCTACTAGTCTCTTTACCCTACCGATAAATGGTGTGTACCATCAGTCCCGCCGAGCAAGCGAGTTCGGCCACTTGCTTAGCGGTGTCTATAATGCTTCCCCCATCTATCGGAGGCCTTAGAGACTATTGTTGGGCGGGAAACGTCCTGGAATTTGGCTCAGTGATCCCCTTTGGGGATATGAGGTTCTTTTACGTGCCGTAAAGTTACGACACGGGACACACAGCTTAAAGTCCCTCCCGGAGGACTTGTTCCCTGAATTTTTCCGACCTTAAAAATTCGACGACCTCTGCCGGGTATTTGAACCCGCGTACCACGAGTCATGAGGTGCGAACGTTATCTCTAGACTACGGAGGCCGCTTATCCAATCCTACTCTCTAAGATCCATTTTAATATTGTCCACCCACCTGCGTCTTGGTCTTCACAGTGGTCTCCTACTTTCCGGCTATCCCACCAGTATCCTATATGCATTCCTCCTCGCCAGCATTCGTGCTACATGCCCTGCCCATCTCATCATCATTGACTTCATCATCCTCATTATGCAGTTTTCTCCAACCTCATGTCACTTCATTTAGCAATACAAAAGAACTGTGCACTTTTCCCACATAATTTATTCAGTTGTGCCTTACATGGTGGTTTATTACTGACGTAACTCTGCCCTTGGGCTGTTAAACAGAATGGATGTGAATGATAATACCGAACTTATGGAAGTTCATACCGCCATAACATCAAGGTCGAACCCACCAACCTAACTCACTAACTTCAGTAGTAAATACGGATGCATCATGCACCGACGAAAGGACAGCAACGTCATGAAGAATGGTCCATTTACGTATTTTGTACGATTCTCAGAACAAACTGCGATTAACGCCCAAACAGCATTAACCGACTGGTCTTTGCAGTGGAGATCCGTGTCTCTTCTGTGAGGCAGTTTCACGATTCAAAGTCTTAAGGTTTTCTGCAAATGCTCTGTCGGAAATCTGTATTCATTCTTTCACATTTGAGACGGGAGTGTTCCTTCTTAAATGTATTCCAGGAAGCGCATGAATAAAAAAATAGGCTTATGAACAGAAAGGTACAGATAAGAAAGGACATACTTTTCTCAGAAAAACATTAACTTTACATTAGTTTTCACTCTACTTTCTCTAAATCATGCAAGCCTTCCGATACAGGCATGCTTCCGTTCAATACATTATCACATGATAGGGAGGAGGGGGTGCGTGTGACTATAGACGGGGTTTTGGATTGGATGATTGGTTTTATTGACCCCTTATATATGGTGGAATCTTCACCGGAGAGCCGGTTACACTGATTTGAGGCTTCTATCCTGCCAGAGGAAAATCAGCATGGTATCTTCAGATACATGGCGACTGCAGTTTATCAAACTCATATATCCGCGTTCACGTCCCCAAATTACGCCACGCTATATACACGTATGTGGCCTATGTACTTCAATGGGCAACGTTACGTAACCTAACAACGAATTAATGAATACAAATATAGACAGAAATAAATGGATAACTAGCAGGTAACTTCTTCGCCCTGAATCCAAGCAGATCGCGGTTATAATCCGATAAACCGATTCACCAATCGAAACCCGTGTCTTTTTTTTTTAATTTGTTTAGTGGGCGGGGGGGGGGAGTCCAACTGGGTCCACTCGGCACGGCGGCTACTGATTGGCCTACTGTACTTGCCCCGGGTGATTATGATGATGGAGAATTTGGTGGAATGAAGATTGGCAGGGGAAACCGAAGTACTCGGAGAAAACCCGCCCCAGCGAGACTTTGTCCACCACAAATCCCACTTGACAAGACCCGGGATCGAACCCGAACCGCCGCGGTGGGAAGCCAGCGACTAATCGCTTGAGCTATTTTGGTCAACCCGCGTCTTAGTCACTGAGACACGTGGCAATATTTTGAACCTATTTTATCTTCTTTTTGGTTGTTTTCTTTTTCAATCCTTTTCACATGTCTCCGTTTTTTAACGTCACAGAATAACAACAACGCATAATTACAGATAAAAATGCTCATGACGAGTTTCATTCGATTTCTGTGAAATAAAGCTGAACAGAAAGGACATGAAAATATCTCACGTAGCAGACACGATTTAAGATATGCCGATTATAATTATTGTAGTCGACGTCCCACAAATTCGTACATGTTTTGACATCAACTAAAACAATTACGAAACACTATAAAATGTATACAACACATACTCACACTGAATGACCATCAGAGCCCAGAGACAGAGAGACCACCAAGCTGCTTACCTGAAAGGAAGAAAACATAGAGACCTATAAAATACTAAAAAAAACGTTAGGCCTATCACTTCAATGTGTCTGTGCAACAGTCCATATATTGAAATTCACACTTCGAAGGTTCTTTTGTCTCTTCTTGTTATTTATTTAACACAACATGTTTCGGCCTGACTGGCCATCATCAGGTGTACGTGTATAAAATTGTAGATGAAAATTGCTGCTCTGGTGTTACATTCTTGTAAAATGTTTATAAAAAATATTTAAAGTTATTTCTGATATTATTAATACCGTGGTTACTTTTGTTGTGCACATATGTTGTGGATTGTATGCAGTTACACAAAGCACAAAAGTAAAGCAACCAACACACCAATAAACATACACCAGACCCACAATATATGTGCGAAACAAAAAGTAACCATGGCAGGATAATCTAAAAAATAACTTAAAATAAAAAATATATAAACATTTTACATTACCCGTAAAATGCAAAATACAACACCGTAACAGAGCAGAAGTTAAGCCTGATGATGGACAGTTGGGCCGAAACATGTCGTGTTAAATACGTATATAACAAGACACAAAGGAACCTTCAAAATTGGAATTTGAACATATGGAGTTGCAAATGGACGGTGAAATGAGAGCGCTAGAATTGGAATACACAGTGCAACAGGATGCTGCAACACAACATAACAGAAACAAACACCGTGGTTTTAGTCCGCAAGCGAACTATACCGACTGAGCGACCGCCGCTTGTCGGCGAAGTTAGCGCCAACTTTAGCGAGTATTTCATTGAAACAGCTCCTCAGTTATCCTCACAGTCTGACTGAACCCCGTTCGAGACCCACTACTTCTCAGAAAAAATCTGGTAGCGCCGGGAATCGAACCCGAACCTCTGGATCTATAACCAGGAACTCTGACTGCTAGACCACAGAGGCGGTCCGCAATACAACATTATGAACAGAAAACAGAAATTATACTGAGCGGGTTGGCTTAGCGGTAATCCTATGGACTACTATTCGGCAGGTGTTCGGTTCGAATATAGAATCGGACACAGCTATCGTGACTAAAGATTCGCGTGGTTTTCCTCAAGCCGCCAAACAAATACAGGAGAGTAACTCGGCTAGAACATAACCGCTTCTTTCAAAGTCCTTTCCAATTCAGCATTTATCTAACAGCCTATCAGTCGTTGCTATATAATCTACTGACATTAACACAAAATAGCCAAGAAAAGAAATTATTTGTCCCGGATAACGTTAACGTTTGGTGAGCGTAAACGAACCTGATGAGTGTATAGAAAGAGAAGTACAGGACAGACAGACGGATGAAGAGAAGACACAAGCAAGTGAGTGGATAACCTGCGATGGATTAAGATCTAAAAGTTTGTGACGACGATACATTAACACAAATATTATGTTTTTTAGGGCATTATGCACCGTCCTGTTTTTATTTAAAAACACAACGTTTCGGAGACTGGATTCTGTCTCCGTCTTAAGGTAAAACCCACTCAATTGGGCCCAATCGATAGAGCCAGCCTCCGAAAAGTTGTGCTTTAAATAAAAACAAGATGATGGATATTGTCCAGAAACATGTCACAGGTATGTGTGACTATAGATGGGGTTTGGATTGGATATTGGATTTATTAAACACTTATACACATAATTCGGATCTACAAGTAATTATAGCGCTATGGCCAATACACGCTTTCGCAAATCACTATAGCACATGCTAAGTGTTTTCTAGTCTTCATTAGACGCTTCCTGGTAACGGTTTCTAACAGTAGAGATTCTCCAGCTTCCGCGCTCAAGTCCTCTCTGAACGACGGCTCTCTTCCAACTCATTCTTTCCTTCATCGACTCCCGTTCAGAACTGACTTGGTGGCCCCAAATGTCTTCCTTATAATTCTTCGACATGGACCGAGTAGAAAACACCGTTTCCAAGCATATACCTCTATTATTACATGCACTTCCGTTGGAGCGGTAATGTGTTCACCGAGCCGTTGCCTAGAAACGGTTCTACATGCTAGAATAATAGTTGTATGATCAATTAGCTTTACAAAGTAAATTCAAAGTTTAGGGACCAGTAATAAAATACCCAGTCTGAAAATGAGTTTGAAATGACTTAACGTTTGACACGCACCGCTCAACAGACCCCCCTAGCTCCCCGCAGCCCTGCACAACACACAGACAACGTTACTTCGGCGCCCTGTAGGAGTTCTGACTATTGTTTACTCACGTTCGAATTAAATAGAAGGAAAGACGAGAAAAGGGCGGAGAAAAGGAATGAGAAGGCGGAGAAAGTAAAGGAGAAACAAATAATGGAATGAGAAGATGATGTTGAGCGAGTCCATAAGCCAGGAGGGAAGAAAAAACAAACAGGGTAAAAAAAAATTGAATTATGTTAAACATGCTAATTGCAGTGGCTCTGGGGAAGACGCTCGTCAGACTGGATACGGAGTGAGAAAGGTAAAGGATAACGGCGAACGAAACGTCTTGAGGTTGGGCCGAAACAGCCTGGAGGTCACACAACCCACCATTAGGATTCAGCTTCCTGTCCATAAGTGTTAATGGTTCAAGAAATTTAATGAAGTCAGAACAACGTTTACCTTTATAATTAAGAAGTTAATCTAAGGTAAGTAATTTCTATTCCGGTGTATTTATAAACACAAATACAGAGTCTAGCCCCAAGGATTCAAGTCACATGACAGACGTCCACAGAAAACACAAAGATATAAATTAACTGAACTATGTTTTTGCATAACTAGGGACTGTACTTTTCATGAGAAAATTTTATTACCATTCTTAACGTATGTCTTTTTCTCACTTGTTTGTTGATATGCATTTTCAGTTCTAAACAACTTATATATTCCCGACAGGTATTCTACGACAATTTTTACTTTTCGCCCCCCCTCCCATCTCTGTTGTAAAGATACATCACCATATTTTCCCCCCCCTTGGCACTACAGCCCCAGTGGGCCTAGGCCTACCTCCATGAATTTCTCCGTTCACTTCGGTTTTTCTAGAGCTTACACATTCGGTAGGACTCCTTGGGCGGGTGATCAGCTCGTCGCAAGGCCTCTACCTGTACACAAACACAGAAAAAAGCATACACACACACACACAAACTAAACATCCATGCCCTGAGTGGGAATCGAACCCACGATCCCGGTTTCAAAGCGAGCGAAGACAGTACATGCCTTAGACCGCTCGGTTACCGCGACCGGCAGTGTATAAGAATAATATATAAGAATTCAGTTCGTACCTCACAGGAAACAGATCCGAACCCACGATCCCGGTTTCAAAGCGAGCGAAGACAGTACATACCTTAGACCGCTCGGCTACCGCGACCGGCACATTACCATATATAGGAATATATTAACCCGAAGGGACAGCTGGTTTCAGAGGCACGGAACGACTATTTCGATAGCATGACGCATGGCTCCTTCATGTCACAGATACAAACAGAAAAAAAAAAAAAGAATTCTATTAGCAGTGCTTAATATAACACCCTTAGTCAGCTGTTCGTTTATTGTTTCGGTCTTTTACGCCACTCTTGCAGCGATTATCTCAGTTTGTGGTTTCCATTTAAATCATTTACACTGATATCTGCCATTCTATACTCTTTAAAAATGTACAACAAACACGTTTACACTCATACATCTGTTGTCAGACAAATCTATACGTTGTTGTAAGTTGATACACTGTATTGTTAATAGATTTAAAATGTTGAGTGAAAATTTTAGTAAAGCAGAACTCAATATTAAAGATATAATTAAATTAACATGGGGACCCCTGTTTCTTTCAGGCCGTAATAGTACATCAGAGTGCCAGCAGCTGCCGTTCTTTCTTGTTGTGCCTGGTATCTTGTCGTTGGGCGAGGGTTGTGTCTGAAATCTGAACTGGATCCGTCGAGAAACAGCCATCAACCAAGGATAATATACATGACACGATAGGAAAGAACACCAACAAATATCACACAAAATACGCCAGTACGAAATAAGAAAAACAAAGGGGATCCTCATTAATTTAATTTTAACATTAATATTTTGATTTTAATATTTTAACGTACTACATTTTTAATAGGTCATTGGATTTCTTTCAATTGACCTCATCCTTCCGGCTGCACTAGGCCCTGGGGTTTACTCAGCCTCTAACAGAAATGAGTACCAGGAATTAATTAAATAATTTTCCTGGGGAGTAAACCGCGGCCAGCGCGTAAGGCTGACAACCTTACCGCCATCTTTGAGCCGATTGTCTAGAATCTAGACTCTAGATAATGTGGGACCCTCAACGTCTCACAACCTTATGGGCCTTCACGGCCTGTTAGAGGGATAGCTTTACTTTTTTACATGTGGCATGAACAAAAGAGTGTACCAACTTACAAGAACGTGTGTGTATATATATATAATATACTGTCACGTGTCTGGGGTTCCGTGACGAAAAATAACGGGTTCAAGATTGGATAATTTGATTTACAACTCCTTGTATAATCAACTCGCACTTATAAGCAATAATCGCTGTATTTACACAATTTACAGTTCACCGATACACACGCGCTAGGATTCTCAGTCTTCACTAGTCGTATCCTGGCAACGGAATTAAAACAGTCTCACTGTCAATAAATCTTCAAATCACGCACTAAGTCTTCACAGGCTGACTTCTAATTCATCTTCAACTAGTAACTTCCCGTGACTATCGCTTACCGACAACTGACTCAAGCCTCATTCTTGTGTTCTCTGTTGTATTCCCTTGTACACCGTAACAATCCCATTCGCTTGGTACTGTTGTTCAAGGTCAAAGTCACATTGCGACTGACGGTCACTCAGTAAGTCTTGGTGTCGAACCCCAGGAAATTATAAATATTTAATTATTAACAGTATACTATAAAACACCGTCTGTGGTCTAGTGGTCAGAGTTCCTGGCTACAGATCCAGAGGTGCGGGTTCGATTCCCGGCGCTATCAGATTTGTTCTGAGAAGTAGTGGGTCTGGAACGGGGTGCACTCAGCCTCGTGATGAT